TTTATTTATTGACTGATTGTTCCGTGTGGGATGTTAACCGGGGTGGATGATGGTTAAGAGAGATGACAATTTGAAACGGACAAAGAGACTTTAATGGTGGACTCTGTTTTACTTTTATTTTAATAAAAAGACAGATAAACTGGACTCTGCTGTGATTTAACCGAAGTAAGCTAAGAAGACACCAATCAAACCCAAAGGGAGGGGAAAAAAGATGTAAAATTAATATCGGTGATACAAGGTGACAAGTACTGAAAGATTCTGTAGCCATTCGATACGATTTTGCGGCATATCAAAAAAGTTATCAGAATCGAACCTTAATGAATGCGTCAGATTCACAAAATTCAAATCAACCATGAAGCGATAAATTTTCCAGGAGTAAGCTAGGTGATGAGATGAGAAAGTAAACGTCATAGCTTTAGCACAATAATAATATGGTAAGTAGGCATTATCTAAACTTATATTTTCCTATTCACATCAGTGTTCAAAGGGGCAGAACCAATACGCATGACAAAAGGAAAGAAACACTGTGAAACCCTGTTGTGATTAATATTGGTCTATTCTGCCATCTCTTGCATTAATGTAAACCATTCCAATGTGTCAAATAGAAAGCAGTGGACCAAGCAAATGGAGGATAAAATTAAAAACGATAATAGAAACAACAAATATATATATATATATGTATTAATGTATTTATGGATGTATGACTCGATCCAATATGTTATCAGGTCCTCCTTCTCTCCTCTTACTATATCCTCTATACTAATGCCCTATGTATACAATTTTGCTCTTCCTTTCACTTTTTCTGTTGTTTACCATGCTCTTCACTCGATCTCACCCTCTGGACTATGATAACGATAAGGATTGAGTCGTAAGTGGTCTAGATACTTTTTAGCCACTACAGATTTCCATCACCTTGCGGTCCAGCTCCTCGACCGTCGGTTCCTGTGGCCTTGGCCCCCACAACTGCTCGATATCCGCCGTCGTCAGCTCCTTTTTGTCCAAAAGCTTCTCCACGAGCAGGTTGACCATCTCTTTATGGGCCCGAATCAGCTCCGTGGCGAGGTTGTGCGCGGCCCCGACCAGTCGCCCCGCCTGCACCTCCGCGAGGTGTTGGGCGTGGTTGGAGTAGGCCGTAAAATCCCGCCCCGCCTGGGTGTAGTCCGGGTGGTAGGCCAGCAGCCCCACGCGCGCGCTCATGCCGAAGGCGAGGACGCCCTTGAGCGCCATATCCGTCGCGCGCTGGAGGTCATCCATGGCGCCGGCGGACGGGTTGCCGAGCAGCACCTCCTCCGCGGCCCGCCCCCCGAGCCCGACGACCATCTCGGCGAACCAGCTCACGTTGGTTTGGTACTCGTGGAACTCGCTGCCGGCGCGCTGGGTGAG